TGTCAAGAACTACGTCAGCTGAATCCGATTTTTAACAGAGGTCGTAAAAATGAAATCCGATTTTGAATATGATTACTTATGATATTAGATTTGCTCAATTTATCTATGATTTTCGATGAACGAATTTTCAGTTTACAGTTATATTGATCCAAATTATTCAAACATATAGTCGTCAATGAAGAATCAAGTGAAAATTAATGAGATGTTCAGGAAGTACAATTTTTAACAGCGTTATCAGTGTCACTAACTGATAGTCCTAATGTTGTAAAAAAGAAGCTAGAAATATTATTTCTCACTGTTCAATACATTCAGTATATGAGGATTAACTGATTTTTTGTTAGGGATCAGTTTGTAAGAAATCCACATAGGATCCTACCGAAATAATCTAATTGTCTTCAGGAGCATCATGTTGTGAAATAAGACTCCATGTTATCATCATGTTCACACTGTCCATGCTTTCTCCTCATCACAGTTGTTGCTTCTAACATTCGGTGCAATATAATTGATTATTTGATCAGTACAATATCGACGTTGACAGAATCCAGTTCAAACTGAAAGCTATACATCTGTTGAATACTTCAGTAAAATCAGGGAAACTGTGTTGGAGTTCTCTTTATTGAAACCTAAGTGACTGTTATGTAGCTGTCATCAGCGTTGAGATCGTAGCTCGGATATCACTAAACACATTCGCATCATGTTTTAATTTGTATGTTTCAACCCATCATTCTTATAACAAAACAATACATCTTGTATTGTTCCATTCACTGCTTCTATGTACTCAGAAGCACAAAATGCATTTTATTATTGCTCCATTTGGTACACACATTCTTGAAAGTACTGGCACGTATCTTCATCGAACATTAAAAGTACAATATTTATTCCAGCCCCAAGAAGATTCTTCTATCAAATGCTTACATACGTTTGTATTTCTACTTAACTTTAATTTTATTTAGTGGCGATCTGTACTCATATACATAACATTGCATAAGCATAGATAATACCATTCGAAAACCATACATTTCGGTGAGATAAGTGCATACTTGATGACTCATTGTTTGTTATCGAATTTCTTGTGATCAGTTCAAAAACTATCATGAAGATATTTTGATACATTTTCCAGTAGTACTGTGATCACCCAGAACAACACGTACCACGACATTTTTTTTAATATGTTTCGTTTACTGTGATAGTAATAAATATATTATAATCTAGACTATCCGTACTGAAAAAACTGATTATTTTATGGAAGGAATTCTAACATGTCCAATTTATTTACTTCGACAAATGCCATGATCAAAATTAGTTCTAGGGTCTTTCGAAATGGTTTCACCGATCTCTCACGATTTCGATGAAACATAACAATCCTCAAAGCCCAATACTGTCAGTTTTACTTTGCATACTTTTGACTATTTTCGTTAGTTAATTTTTCAAATTCTGTTGACACATCATCAAAGCGTTTTTAAGAAGTGAGGCCGAGGCGCAGCCAAAAGTTAGGATATGCAAAATTGTGAAATGATTGATATTGAACAATAACAATAATGCTTGCTATCTCACAACGTGATTGTGAGTAAAGTTAGTTGTGGAGAGAAGAGAGGCATGTGTGGGTGTAGGAAGGATTTGATTTCGACCAGAGTGGTCTCTCGTGCTGTTACGGGTATAAGTTCGGTTGTCAATCACTGGCTGCCCACACAGTGTAAGGTTGTTTCTTGAGGGACCTGAAAAGGAAAATCGATTAGTGTTGGCCTTGGAAATCTGGGAGCGAGACCACAGAGTCCAAAGGACAACTGCTTGAGGCCGGTAACATACGGCCTTTTTCGAAAGGTATTTTGAGGTTTAGCTACGTTCCTTAAGGCCCTTAGTTGGCACCCTTACCCAAGGAGACAGAAATCCGTGAAGTAGGGGAGGTGTGATATTTTGAGAGTCGACCTTTTCTAACCATTCCTTCCTTGTGAGAAGGCAGCATCGCTGCAGATGCTGGTTATCCGAGGGAAACACCATAGTGCTGTCACAGCACCCTGTGCTCAGCAGTTCAACTTCGCCCTCAGACCTTGGGTAGCTGCTTTTAGTCGCTCTCCAATCGACCAGCCTGTCATGGTAGGACCTGCAGTAACATATGTTACAGCCAGTATAGCTCGGTTGGGTCATCACGATAGGCAAGCCCGACCACCACCTTAAGGTAGCAGCTACGGTCGAGAGCAGCTACGTTCGGGAAAATGCAGAATTTACAGAATCAATTAGGACATATTACATGTTGGGATAATCACAAACCAAACCTTCCTAGTGAATTAGTGTTACGTCCAATTTTTTGCTTCTTGCTCCTTAGAAGTACGGTGTGTCGATCTATCTGCAATTCCCGAACCCAAATTTATAACAAAACGAAACTCCAATGTAGGTACCATAGTTTATTCTTACTTCGCAATATTCTACCAAAATGTCATTCGTTTATTACAAATAGACGACTAATGTCGTTCTAACAACAATAATTATAATAAATACAATTACCTTCAATTTTATAGTTTCCTGGAGCAAAAAACTGCCAACGAACAAACCAAGACAAACAGGAGTTCAAAAATGACCGAAATAATAATTCCTACCGTAACATTATACAGAAGCCTCTTACTGCATGCTTTTATTACCTGTGTCCTTTGGGACAATTGTGATGTAAAGTTACCTTTCGAAATTCACTGTTAACGTGTGTTTTATTGAACATCAGCTGATCTAAATTTATTTGGTTTAGATTTATTCGATCAGCAAATCTTCGCTAATGTTCGGTTTAAATACAATTAACACTTTTTATCACGATAACATGACCAAGATCACTTACAGGGTAATCGAAATTTCTCGGAATTTCGTAAAATTTTAGAAGTCCATTAGATTGATTCACGTCGATGAAAGCAACACTTTGGATGATATCTGGTATTCAGCATGTTTTCTAAACAAACAGGCTCGTGCCTGATGCAATATCAGCCACAGTACATGATGTGTTGAATTGCCTTCAGCGACAAGAGGTTGATAACGCCCGTTTTTAGGTCCGCCTGGGCAGCTTTTGTAGTTATTATCAAACAGCACGGTACATATGTGTGCTGACGTTTCTTAACACAGCTCTAGAAAAGCATAATAATCGTTAGCTAGTTCCCGTGGATCTGTTTACTATGCCGAATTGAGTAACGTTTTTTCCAAGGCTGAATCTAGCTGATGCTTAATTCGGAATGTAAGTAGATGGAGTGTAAAGAATGTATAATTCTTTTTGAATGCTTTGTGTTTTGGAAAATCCCTCCATGTTTACATATTTTTGCTATGACATGATGGACTTTTTCTCTTGACAATTTTGGTATTTTATTTGATTCCAATTTGAGATTTTACCATTGTATGTTGTTATTCTTTCCATATTTTGTACTTATATTGAAGTTTTTGTGTTTGCTTTTGAACTGTACATATATTGTTTAAATTTGATATAATATGGCTACCGCCACATTTTTGGATAGACGCGGTGGCTGCTGGACTTAGTGTCACTTACTAGCTATTGTAATAGATACTCTACGGAGTAATTTAGTCCTGGAAGAAACAAAAACACCGTAAGCCTCTGTATTTCCATTTTATAACAATATAGAGACGTTTTCTCCTAGAATATTTGGCCTTTTGGTTTGGCTGGGACCTGGATCTAGGAGTATCGTACCGGTGTGTTTCTATTGGACGCGATTAGGACAGCCGCCGGCGAAAAAAATTCTACAAGAATGCTTCTTAAAATCAATTCTTAATGTGGCTTGTTCCAGTACAGTCGTCTTCAATTTTAGTGAAAGAGTTACCTGTTTATCTTCCAGCAACTATTAGATACTATCTTATCAGACATCTATATGATTGCAGCTCATTTTCATGGCATTTCAATTTTTGCGACTACAATGGAACTGCTACGAGAACTCTCGACATGGTACTACAAAGCTTTAGTTACTAATGGTTCCGGTTAGGCCCACAGAAATGCCAGTTTCATTGCAGTCCATAAAGTTTTAGGACTCATCATTGATGCTGACGGGCGATGATCGTCATGTATGCACCCCGTACACCTAACACAGGCAGAAAATTTGTATCGCCAGATTGAGAAATTTGCTCTAAACCACCTGTTTGCCGCTCACTATTTCTACAGGTTTGTACTTGGTCTTAGATTCAATATCCTCACAGATCACAAAAATCCGTCAGCAGTTCTTGATTCTAAATATGACATTCCTGCCCATTCTGCAAATCGTCTTCAGTGATTAGTCTTTGTGCGTTAGTTGTTTGATTTCGAAATACAATATTAACGAAAACTACAATTTGGTCAAGCAGACGCTGTGTCACCACTCATCATTGATCAAGTTGCGGACGAACAAGAAGTAGTACTCGCATCTTTGTCAGTGAGAGACCACGCCGAATGTTGCTTGACAACGAAGAATCACGCAATACCGTTGTCTGCGACAGACATTCGAAATGATTATAGAAACGACTACATCAATAAGGTGACGTTGAAATTTATCACTAACAGTTGGTTTTCGAATTTTGATGGTTACATGAAGCTACTGTAAGAAATTTCGAACTTTCTGACTATTGATATTCGTCAAACACTTATGCTTGCTACCATATTACCTGCGAACCAATAGGCAAGCGGAAAGATTTGTGAATATGTGGCTACAAAATAAATCATGGTATTCAGACGGAGTGATCAAAGGAGTTAGGCTGATATGAACAAATTAGAGTCAGGAGGTATAACGTAATCAGATAGGCGAATGGCTACCCCGAGAACTCTTTTCAAATGATCAATTTATCTCTTTGGTACTTCTTTTAGGTCAAATTATCAGAGTACCTTAACATCGGTTCATCGACTCGTTCTTTTTTATTGACTACGATGAATTCGAATAGTTTCAAACGTATCTTTAAACAAGCATAACATTCGTGTCTTGTAAAAAATTTTTATTTAACAATGAAGAAAACGTTTACATTCCTAATATTATTTTCCGAAGAACAAAGATCCGGGGAAAATTTAATTGGTGGACAAGTATTGTTCATGTATATGTTGCAACAACGGTAGTAATAATTGACATGTAATTCTGAAATAATCAGCAGAATCATAAACTCGAACGAAGATACTAAAGTCATATACAATACAGAGTATTCTTCCGATTTGCGGTTTTTCACCAAATAATATGTGGTCAAGGAAATCATCTGAAATTTTTAAACTGATACTGCTAAGCCTGACAATAGGAATTGAAACACATGATAATTTTTTTATAAAAGTAAAGATACATATACATGAACTGTTAAGTGTCTAGTATTTTCACATCCTCAAAACCAACAGAACGACAAGTGATTTATCTGTCCGATTAATATATAAGTCATATATTCCTAAACAATGATATCAGTCTCATAAACATTTAGTTGCTTGAAGAATGAAACATACATAAAATCAACTGTTCACTTTTCAATACCCAATAGTCAAGTTTTCTTCATATGATTTCAGGACTAACTAGCTCCAACTTTCGATCTCTCGTTATTGTTGTAAACCATCTAGCCTTATCAATCGATCAGTAATCTCCATAATTTAATTGAGTTAACTGTCGTATATAATGCTGGTTGTATAATTTGTGCTAGTGCTTAACAGTTGTAGCTTCTGTTTTTGTTACGTTATTCAAAAATCCATATTGCATAGAGACAAGTAAATGGTGGGTGTTTAACTGTTTGTGTGTAACTTACATTGAAAATTGCACAGCACCAGCAAATCAACGACAGAACTGCATATGTAAACTAAAGAAAAGGAAAAAAAAGTTTTCTTTTCAAATCATTTTGCAAATATTTAATTCATACTCCCTAAAAATTTTAAATCTGCAAATATACTGAGTCCTGTGACGACGACAATAACGTAGTGTATCTTCTCAGACTTCAGTTAGATTCATGTTCATAATACGGTCAAAATGGAACTCAACTTCTCGTTCGAGATATTATGACAACAAATTAGCTGACTGATTTCTGATTTGTCAATAATTTTTTTGAGGCTTACAGTCAACGTATTGCGTATACCTAATATGATGTTAGTACTTCATGATATTCTTTTTCAACGCCATTTCAATCATTACAACAGAAAAGACGTAAACGTCAGTCATCTTTGGAACTAAGTTTATCAATCAAGAGTTGACATACAATGTTGTATGTCTAAAACCTTCAATGGCGTTTGCTTCACGCTACCTTACTCTCTGTTAAGCGTAAATGAATAAAAATGAACTTATCATGATATGCTATACATAAAAATAAAATGAAACAAAAAAAATTTGATCCATGTTTGTATTTTAAACAGATTTATTAATTGTTGACGTTCCGAGTTAATTTTTTGTTTAAATAATCGATCACAAATTATTTTGAAAAATCAATGAAATCCGTAACCATTTTTTAATAAATTAAACTTTATCTCCCAATCAACTCACATTCCACGATGAATCTCGCGAGTTTTGATCAGGACAAAGAAAGTGATTGCAGCTGCCACAAATAAACAGCAAAAAAAGAAAATAACACTATTCTCCATTTTCGTGTGGAGTCTTTCAGTTTTACACCCAATAAAATGGCAACAATCGTAACAACGGAGGTCACATTAACAGCAATGACGCGATCGATCCATTCACCAGGTACGTTCAGTAACGCAGTTCCGATTACCCAAATGATTAGCTGAGAAGTAAAGAAGTATTAAGTTAACTGATGAGAAGCAAAATTTTAAAGCGCTCAACACTGAGAAAAATAAATTAAGGGTATCTGGACATACGTTGTTCTAAATTATAACGCCTGGTGGTTACCAGATAATTTATCTAAATGAATGATAAGTTTACTATGTGAATTGCAAAATATCCACGAAATAAACTTACCAAAACCAATGAACATATGGTTTTAAGATGATACCAATGATGTAGCGAACATATTACATGAAATTATGAAAAAAGTTTCGACACGAAAATGTGAAGGCCTTATTTATCTGCTAATGCTGCCTCCTGTGTTGCACACTTATTATGCACTGTTCTGTAGTCATCATCATTCGTCTATTATCCACTTAGTAGATATCAATGTTTCCTACGAAGCTGTAATTAATTAACATAATCAATAATAATGTATTGAAAAGTAAATGCTAATACACATATGAAAGAAGGCGTGATTTCGTAGTTTATCAAATTCTCACTGTTTGTTTCTTGAATTTAACTCATAGAAAACATAAAAATGGTAATGATCTATATTTTGTGTATGGACATCCTGAAAACTAGGTGAAAATCACAAAGTGATAAATTTCGTGTTCAACTAACCGTTAAAACAATGAAAAGGGAGTTCCTCGGAGATGCAGACTGAAAGACTTTGTTGAGAATAATGATGACTGTGAATAACAATGCTATGAATCTGTAACATGTAAATGCAGTGAACAGAAAAATTAACTTAATCTTACACTGAGAGTAGTAAGAAACATTGAAAGCTCCATCTAATATATAGGCTAAAATTGGTGTCCATACAAACATGCAATATTTTCGCTTACATTTTGGTGAAAAATAACATAATAGGACCACAAATAGGAATCTTCAAACAAATCAAATTATTTTCATTTCATAATCATGGTCACTTCAAATGAGAGCACTTTTTAATAAAACGCTTCAACATGATTTCTATGAAAAAAGTGTTATCGTTTTCTATTATTACTAATATGTAACTGATGGCTTGATTGATTTTCAAATGATTATATAAGCAATAAGGTAGTCAAATTTATCAGGCATTATGACTTACATTATTATGAGACCACACAAACGATCAGGATCATCCCAACAATCTCGACATAATCTGTCACGTCAGTGATGTATTGGTAGCAAAAGTAAAATACTTACAAGCACGTGGTTGAATTACAAATTTTGTCTTGAGGAGTTGGTCTGGTTGTCATATTTAAAATAATAAGATTGGAAAAAGTCGATGATTCCACTTTGAACTGAATAGTCAAAAGTTCAAGATGCGAAGAAAAGAGAGATTTTTGTACATGGGTCACTTGGAAAAATAAACATTCACTTTAATATTTAAACTGTCAATGTAAGTTATACGGTTACTGGTAAAAATCCAAGAACATATCATCATAATCAAGAAAATAGTCCGACAGTGATGAATAGTTGTGTGTGAATCATCAATGGAAGGCTATCCATACAAATGAATGTTCAGCCATATTCCTATCTATTGACCTATCTTTCTATGTATATCTATATGTGTGTATCTTTTATACAATGGATCGTTTACCTCATCCTTATTCGAAAATTCAATGCAGTTAAATGCGATGAAACAATCAAAACTATCAAATCTTGAATCAGAAAAATGAACCATTAGGATATGTTCAACATAAAATTTATCAACTCACATCATTTCAATTAACACAATTTTGTACAATCCGCAATATATATAGTCAAACATGCCAATAACACCACAACATATATTGATTGACTAGCGATAATAGTATCACTGAGCTTTGTACTTGATAAAAGGTAATCAACTACATGTAAAACAATTCAAACTGTAATGAAGTGAGAGATTCATTGAGTATGATCAATGCGTACGTGCAAGTACTTCATAGCATAAAAAATGAACCTACTTTTAACTCATTATAGATCATATATCAAGTTAGAGAATAAAGATAAGCAATGAAATCTCATCGAAACCCCGTTTTTGTTGATACTTTTTTAATTACTTTGAAAATATTGTTGTCTGAATAATCTCGGTCACTAATTCCAACATACCACCAATTTTTACCTGTATATATTATTCGGTGGTTTTGAACCATGTTAGTCTATGAAGAAACGTAAATTATAATCCTCATCCTTTGACACCCCTAAATGTTACAGCAAAGTATCAATATTGATTCTCCATTACAATGAGACTCACTGACGTGGTTGATTCCTCTTCAGATTGTCTCATTGACAATGACGTATCCAAAGACATACTAAACACTAATAATCTACACTGTGAGACTCAATTATTTCATCGTTATTTTAAAAGGATCAAGTGATTTTATAATCGAAACAACAAGAAACGAATAAAACTTTTTACATATATATTCCGCTTTCTTGTCTCACAATTCAATTTCTGATGAAGTCATGCATAATTTAAACAAGTTTAAAGCAAATCGTGCCTGCAGACCAAATCTATTTACTGTCATTATGAGGCTTCTTCTGCTCATGTTTACCGTCTTCATGCGATGTAAATTATTAGGCTAAAAAAGATGATCAGAATATATCCAGTCTCCGTATGGTGAGAGATAACAGGACGAATAAAAATACAGAAGAAAATTTCTTACAGGTTTCTTCTGTGTATTCTGGTGATATATACATGTAACAGATAGTTTGTTGTAATCTGAGATTTTTGACGTACGATAACCTCGTTATACTATCACTGTTTATAATAGATAACTAAATTTTTGTTGGCCATAGTTAAGCTGCTGACTGTACTTTGATTGGTTTGTTAAATATCAATGAAGGGTGATAGTAATTATTTGTCAGTCAGTTAGTTGTTGACGTGGGTCTTAGCATTTTTATTATCATTCATATGCTAGATCTTGATATTGTGGTTGAATATGTATTATTACTTGTAACATTCAATACCACTTCATTATATGTGAGAATAATTTTTACTATATTTGGTACGAATGTAACTATTTTACAGACGTTTCACTGCAATTTCTATAAATTAATTACGTCACATTATTCTGGTCTTCTGTCAGTCGTTTTGTTGCACACGTCAGAAAGACACAGGATGACACACACCTTCATTGTCGTGAAGATGGGAGTTTTATTTATCACTTCCATTTCCATCTGCATCAGAACCACAATGTGCTTCCCATATGCATTTGATCGATGCAACATTAACAGTAACGGAATTCAGCTTTTTATTCTCAGAGCTGAGCGTTCATTGTATACTTAAGTTATGTTATGCTATTTAATTCACTAATCATGATTATTTGTCTTATTTTTGAATTTTTAGATGGTTACAATCTCTACTCATGTACATAAGATTCTATACACATAGATTAAAACATTCGAACATGATACCAGTCAGTTAGATTAGTGTATACTGAGTGAATGATTTTTTGGTACGAAATTGTAATTGATCGCATAAAAATGATCATAAAGTCAATTCGATCCAACTCCTAGTGGTACACTGGCCAGCTAAGAGAACACGCCAGCCGACTTTTTTTTCAATGTGTTTCATTTACAGCGATTGTATTGTATACAGTATAATATACAAACTATGAATCTCGTAACTGGTTATTTAACTAAAGGAACTCCTACACGATCGATTATTTTACTTATAACATAATAACGATCAAAACAAGTGAGTGTCAATACCGTATCACTGCTCTTACATGATTTCAATGAAACACAACTATCTTGGTAGCCCAATACTGTCAGTTATAATATGAATCCTGTTGATAAGCTTCGTTAGCAATCATGATTGCTACTCGACATTGTGTTGAATCTGAGACTGCAGCTCAATGAAAAAAACTAGATGACGCTTATGCGAAACTGCGAAATGATTGAAGTTCAATGCTGACAGTAATATTTTCTACGGTTTGAGCCTTCACGCACGAGACCCACGCCTTCAGTGTGAGGTAAGATGGTTGTCAGATTGTTAAAGTGATCATCATTCTGATCTGAAAATGAGATCGGAACAGTGCAACACATATGTAAGCTTACAATAATCGTAGCAGCAGTGAAGAAATATCTGTTTTAATGATCAGCTGAATCAGTGGAAAAGGATTTGCATATACTGGTGACGGTGGCTCATAATCACTTGAATCAAATGACTCACATGTGATTGAATATAAAACATTGAGGTGCGTGAAAGTTTATCACCGAAAACAAATGTCACAGCTGAGCTGCACTCACGCTGCTATCTGCAGTCACAAATACGCTAAATGCACATACATGACTCTACTTTTTCGAGCGCCATGAGAATCATGTCAAACTAAAGTAACAGATTAAGGTTTTTCTAAATGAGAACACGCAAACGATAGGACTAAAAGTAACCTCTCAAGGTCCGTGTGCATCGTCGTACTTCTAACTGACAACAAAGGATAGGAGAGTGGTGGGATGTTTTCATCAGACAACCAGCATCTGCAGAGATAATGCTTTCTCACAGGGAACGACGGTTAGAGGCCTTGAACGAAAAACCATAAAAACGTCTGCGATGTTGCACGTAAATCCACTCTTTTTGTTCTCTAAAATTCTAATCTAACAATTCCTCATCACCTCCATCATTCGCTTTCTAAATTTATCTCACGCAATTATACATCTTGTATAAAATCTAACATCAGTAATACTCGTACTTCTTGTTATATACCATAAATAATTACCATTTGAAAATAAATACCATATCATTTGAAAATAATCTCGTAAACTCTTCAGTGTTTTATTGCATGTCTCTGACACGATATTCACAATGCTCAATGTGCAAAAATACTGAGTTATGAGGAAATTTATTAGTTCATGAGTAACTTACCATAAACATTCCACCACACCAACTGATCAATGACAGAATTTCAAATATATTCTGAAGCAAAGATACAAAAATATTAATTGTGAATTTTTGATTCGCATCCTTGAAATATCTCCATACGCAAATATACTGACTGCAAAACTACAACCATAATGCAGTGTGTCAAGTCAGAGTTCAATTAAATTCATGCTCACAATGTGGTTGATCTCTAACTCCTTCTTTGTTCATGAAGGCTAGTAGTACATGAAATCAGCTGACTCCGAATTTTTCAATAATGTATTTGATGGGTACTATTACCATTATGTGTATACTCGAAACAATGGCAGCAATTATTGACGTTCTATTTCAACAACATATGAGCATAAACGCTGATCAATGTTACATTATTCGCCACTGCCTTCCCCCGCAGTTTATAATTCATTATTTCACATATATTGTCGTACATGTACATTAACTTCGAAATCGTTCGCATCACGTCATCATGCTGTCAGTTACACGTAAATGAAAAAAAAGTGAATTTTGAATGATTATACATACATAACATATCACCACCATCTCATGATAACTTGTACATACCTATATATGATGGTGATTTGAAGAGTTCAGCAAATAAACGTGATTCATCGATTCCTATCGCTATTATATTTGAATATTTAAACCTTGCTTATTGGTATATATATATATATATATATATATATATATATATATATATAAGCATGATGGGTTGAAAAATACAAATTAAAACATGATGCGAATGTGTTTAGTGACATCCGAGCTACGATCTCAACGCTGATGACAGCTACATAACAGTCACTTAGGTTTCAATAAAGAGAACTCCAACACAGTTTCCCTGATTTTACTGAAGTATTCAACAGATGTATAGCTTTCAGTTTGAACTGGATTCTGTCAACGTCGATATTGTACTGATCAAATAATCAATTATATTGCACCGAACGTTAGAAGCAACAACTGTGATGAGGAGAAAGCATGGACAGTGTGAACATGATGATAACATGGAGTCTTATTTCACAACATGATGCTCCTGAAGACAATTAGATTATTTCATTAGGATCCTATGTGGATTTCTTACAAACTGATCCCTAACAAAAAATCAGTAAATCCTCATATACTGAATGTATTGAACAGTGAGAAATAATAATTCTAGCTTCTTTTTTACAACATTAGGACTATCAGTTAGTGACACTGATAACGCTGTTAAAAATTGTACTTCCTGAACATCTCATTAATTTTCACTTGATTCTTCATTGATGACTCTATGTTTGAATAATTTGGATCAATATAACTGTAAACTGAAAATTCGTTCATCGAAAATCATAGATAAATTGAGCGAATCTAAGATCATAAGTAATCATATTCAAAATCGGATTTCATTTTTACGACCTCTGTTAAAAATCGGATTCAGCTGACGTAGTTCTTGACATACACAAGCAAAAAAGGACGGACTATCGAAATTTCAGGAAAGTTCACAACCTTATAGAAACAGAAGA